ATTAATCCTTGACATGAAATTGTGCAAATTTGTCAAAAATGTGAATTAAGTTTCCTTGAATTCAATGGAACGAAAACATTACATTGCCTTGCATTGATCAAGTCATGGGAAAGTTCGTTACAAAACTGAATACAACAATACCGCAGCATTTTTTGTTTCAACGAGAGAAAAAAACAACACAATTGTTAAAATGAAAAATTGCGTTTCGTACTGATTTTGCGCTTTTTGCCTCGTTTTTGGTTTTCTCATTAATTTTAACAGGGAGGGAACTAATCACACTGTGTGTTTTGTTATGCGCGTTCAATTGTTTTATTTACAGTCGATGAAGCTCATCACAGCTCATTTTCACCACCGCCAATTTCATTGTTCAAATGATTGTCGTTTTGTTTCTCTGGCTATTGTGAGTTTATTCTAACAAAATAGCATCGCATTGATTATGAGCGGTTTCATTCAGCATTTTCATTCATATGGTGAATTTTAAAAAAAATATCGAATACATAATTTAAAACAAACATGCAGAGCTTTAACTTGTATCGATTTATAATTTTGAATATTAATCGTCACCGGCGTTGAAATGAACGACGCTGTAGCACTTTAAATAAATCTTCGATTTTGTCTGACGAAATTGCTCTCAATTAATCAAATTATTATATTTATTTGTTGTATCCATTTCAACGTGAAGAACAGCATAAATAAAATAAAAGAAACAAATAGTCAAAATGAAATTGTTATTAATTTATGTTTTTGGTTTTTTAATTTTGAATATAAGATGGTTGAAGCGACGAAATGAGAAGAAAAGTTATCGATGACATCTTTAGAATGCGATATTCATCATAAATACGCAGCTTGATGCCAATTAATTGAGTTCAATGTGCGATACACTTCAGTTGAGAGTGGCATGAAATGGTCAAACATCGATATGACGACGACATATTACTGGCGACAAAACAAAACCAAAAAAAAAAATGAATATAGATCCGACGCGGATGGCACACTGTGACAAAGGATCATAATTTATCGATTTATTGTCTAGTGTCCAAACAAAATAAACGTTAAATACTTATATTTTCGATGCTGCATTCGGACTATATTATCGTTTAAGTGCTCAATAAGTTGGCACCTATTTCTTTCGTTTTGTTAAATATATTATTTTCTCTCTTTTGGTCGACGATGATGATGATTCAGTATTTTGGTTTCAGAATTATATTTATATATTTTTGGTTCATTAAAACCTTCTTTTATTGGCCCGTTGAATAAACACTGGCACCATTTATAAAGCCACCCAAAAATTCTACCCAATTATTCAAATGTTTCGATTCGACAGAACCATATTTTTTTAACAAGGTTATGTGTGTTTTGTGATGTCATCGATAAATATAAAAACGCATAAAGCGTAAGAAACGCATAAAATAAATTGATCCAAAGAGAAAAGGACAACCGAAAGAATTACGTTCGTTTGATTAACAAATTATCGTTAGAATATGGACGCACTTTTTCACTGTCGCCACAAAAATTGAAAAACCAAATCAACCATGGCTGTACAGATAAGTCCTCACAACATGAATTCACAAGTGGCGTAAGATGATATCTTTCACTGAACATATTAATAAATTTATTTGTTCAAAAATGCCGATGCAAAAGATTGAAATCTTATCTCTTCAATATCTTTTTGGAATTTTACATTTTATCTTTGAATTTAATATCAAACAAAATTCTAAAGATGAATGAAATTTTGTTTTGAAATCAATTGTGAAGGGGGGATTCCTGCCCAAATTCAATTCTCAAATAATAAAGTATATTTTCAACGCAGAACCAATACGTTTATTTCCCAACAATCATCTTTCGTGTTTTCGCATTTATGAAACGGTTGCCATCATCACGAAGTGCTTCTATTCGAAACAAGAAAAATGAGGGTGTGTTGAGTGCTTTCGCCACTTGATTCATCAACAAACATAGTCACGAGTAAATCACGATCAACATTATCCACAATCTTGTGGGTTATTTATCAAGCTAATTGTGTAAACATTTCAAATGTGCCCCACCTCATTCAGGATTCGATTCAATGGTGATGCGTGTTGATGCTTTGTTAAGTGTATTTCGCATTCAGTGTGCGACAAAGCAATTATTGCACGATTTGATTAGATTACATTTCATTCGATTAGGCGAGATGTTATTAAGATGTACAACAAGATTATGCTATTCATTCAATTACAATGTAAGTATAAATGGATTCATGCGCTGCCCGAAGGGATGCTATTGATATAGGCACATCTTTATTATTGTGTGCCAAAGCAGAGTACAGTTTATTTTTCGTCGACCGCAAAACAGTTTTTTGAGCGTGCAACAGAATGGACGTTTATTGTGCGATGATTAATGGATATCGGGTCAGCGTGCTGACATTCGAATGAAATAGAGATGCGGGTATTATTTATTAACAATCTTTCATCTTTTTCAATAATAGTGCAAATTTTTTTCTGCTTTTTTCCGTAAAGTTATGAAACGTTGAGAGTTACATGTGTTCAAATGTAGTTATGAGAATAATTTGATAATAGACGAAAGATATATTTGTTTATTTAACCAATTTATATGGCAACATATTTGTCAATTGATGTTGGGCTATGACATAACGAAACAATTATATTTTAGGCATAGACTGTAACATTTGATGCCGCCGAAAGCATCAGCTACACCTCCTGCTGAACTCGAATCACTTACGGCGTCTGAGAGCATTTATTGGGGATCTGTAATGGAATCAAATCAAACTTATGTCAAACTAAAGATGTCTAGTCAATTATTCGCTTCTGAAAAATTCTGCGCAAAATCATTTCTGATTTGGAAAAGTCTGAAATCCTACTTCGAATTGCCATATTATATCAAATGGGAATTTCATGAGAATGTATTAAAGCTGTAACTGACAAACTTCGTCGAACGAATTACATACCAAATACGTATTAAAATGGACAACGGAACGAGAAAAAGAAACCGAAAATCATTGCCAAGTCATTAGATTCGCATAATTCAACATTTGATATATGTTCATTACATCGAAAAGTAACTCTCTCACCGAATGTAATTACACAAACCGTATGTCTTTCTAATTTCAAAATAGAATCGCGCATTTGTTACAGGTTCACATGACGTCTCGCGTCTTTTTTTCTTGTCTACAAAATAAATTATTTTGAAATTCGATTTTTATTTGTATTCCAAATGATACGCATTCCAAATTATTTCTTCAAATAACAATGAATGGCACCGAAACTCACATTGAACGATACATAATATTCCGTTCGTTTTTCCACCAGAAGAATCTTCACATCGAAATAATTTTAATGAAAATTTTACTCTACAAATCATTAGTGAATTCATAACGCCAAAGAAACGAGTTTAAATTGTTTATGGACAAATTTCGAGCATTAAAGAAACATATTCATTTCTTGTGAAACAAAATACTTTATGCAGACTTCCGTCACATAAACAAACAAAAAAACACGATGTAATATCATTTTGTTTCTTTAATGAACAGAAAATTCCTCAAAATGTAATTTATTCAAATGAAATCATTTCTTGGTATGAATGTAGTTTTCAACTCTTGTTTGGAATAAAAAGCGACCATCCGATTGGTTGTCCGTGCGATCGTGCGTCTGAATTAACACTTCAGTTTGACTCCGCCCATTTGAAAACGAGCATCTGTACGCTGTACATTTCCGTATCGTTGACTGCTTTTTTCCATTGCTTTTGTTCATGCTGCAGGCCAACCTCGGCTATTCCAATAAAAAAGCAACCACAAGGCGAAGTGATTGCTCAAAAGCAGACATGCGCATCGTTTTCAACGAATCCTACCGATTCCACATTCTTTGTTGTTGCTTTTTTGCAATGGCATTTTCGTTATAGCTTGTAAGGAGTGATAACGTTTAAATTTACAATAAATTTTTGACACGAACTTGCGCAGAAAATCGCTTCAGGTCATCTAAGGAATTCAAGTATTCCGTTTGAATTTGCGCTACATTTTTATTGGATGAACAAAATGTTGTTACATTCAAAATATTATTTATATACATTCAAGCATTCAAGTAATCTGAATGCCAAGCTGAATACTCACAAATTAAAACACGTATAAAATCAATGCACAACACAGCAACACACACGAACAATCATAAGTAAAATGGATTTATACAAAAACTTACGCACATCAAGTTTATCGATTGAGTACACATGAACAACTTTGTATATTCGTACTTTTGTCACAATTTCATGCTTCAAATATCACAGAAAAGAATTGGTTTGCCGTTTTCAACTGTAGTTCACCATTTTCAAGACGAACGTCTTTTTTCATTGGCTATTTAAAGAGGAACGGGTTAGAGACAGAGTTAAAATCATTTGCAATCTTTTCTTGAACGAGTTTCAAGTGGACTCCTTGAATAGAATGTAACAATCAAAAGCAAATCTCCTTATATTCTGAAGTGATCACAATGTTTTCATTGCTATTAAATGCGATTATGTGTTTGGTTTCATTATTATTGCATTCCGATGGATTTGAATTGAAAGGATACGAATTTCGAAAATCTCTTGAGAATCTATGGGGTGTCGTTTTGAATCTCTATTCAATTGTAATGTAATTTAATAGGATTTCATAAAGCGTGAAATTCAATAAGAAAATGTTAGCCAAAGTAACGATTACGGCAGCTTATTTAAACTTTTCTACATGAAATCTTAGTCCCAGCAACAGATGGCGTTGCACGACTCCAACTTGAATTGATATGAATGAGAAAAGTTTTGATTTGAAAGAAATAGCAAATAAATAACTCATAACAAAGCGTTGAAATCGAATTCAAATGACATTATTGAAAATCAGCAAGGCATTTCATTTTTTTATTAAATTATTTCTTTTGTATTGTATCTGAGCTTAAAATACATATTTTCTTACTTTTTTTGTCTTTAAATAGATCATTTACTAACTGTAATTGTGTACAATTGTTTATTTTTTTTATAATAAAAAACAATTTGTGTGTGCCATGTGATTCTATCTGCTTGTGGATTTATTTCTCTTTTCTTTTATATGTCATGCGTGTTCATGTTCTAGATCATATTTGGCAACATATCAACGCGATTGATTCAATCACTTCAATCACACGTAATCCAATTGAATGGTCATTTGTTTCACACCAATCGATTCGAATATCATTCGAGCCTGTTTCGTAACATATTTAGCGTCTGCATTTTCGGACACTTCAATTTTTATTGCACCTATATAAACATCACTGCACAATGTCCAAAAGTGTGGCTCTTGTACGCTATAAACACCAGCCAGTCCAGTCACCTTTTGATAGCATTGCGATAGGGGATAATCAATGCTTTGCGGTTGTCGCATCATCAATACTTGTGCTGATTCTTTGATTAAACCAATCACACTGGCAGCAATTAAAAGTGCAATGAAGATCGAACAAATTGGATCGGCTCTCATCCATCCAAACATATGCATCAATATGGCCGATATAATGACTCCCACCGAACCCAATGTGTCGGCCAAAATATGTAGAAAAACACCTCGCATAATTTGCGAATTGGCTCCACCCGAAGGGATGTTATGACTATGGCCATGTGACCCTTCATGCGAATGTCCATGGTTATCTGCATAATTGTTGTGCGAATGTCCATGATTATTCGCCAACAAATCGCCGTGATGATCATGCGAATGCGAAGAATGACTATGTCCATGGCCTCCGCCGCCATGTGAATGACCATGACCATGTTGGAATGCATAAATACCAACCAAATTCACAAGAAACCCTAGAACTGAAACGACAAACAATCGTTCGTGTTTTACCTGCAAAAAAACAATAAATTAAAAATTAATTTTTTAATTAAGTTTTAAATGAAATGTTTTCTCTCACCTCTGGCGGTTCAATTGCACGTTCAACTGCCTCTGACAATATGAAGAATGAAATAAACAACAAAAATAAGCTGTTCACAAAGCCAGCCAATACTTCAGCTCGTACGTATCCATACGAATATTTATCGTTGGCCTTCCATTTTGTGATTACCGATGCGACTAAACCGGCCATCAGCCCCGTGCAATCGAAAAACATGTGAAACGAATCGGATATTAAACCTGAAAAAAAACAAATAGATCATATACAGCGTTAAACATGAATGATACAAGTAGTTTGTCTTTGTTCACTCACCCAAACTGTTGGTTGCAATACCATAGAAAAGTTCTACGAACGCGAAACTTAAGTTCAACAGTAAAAATAGAAATAAATTTCTCGAATTTCGATCGGAGAAAATAAGACGCTTCCAGTCGTTTAGTTTCGTCTTGATGCGGTACAAAAGACTGCGATGATCTCGATGTGTTAATGGAAGCATTTTGAACTTTCTTCTATACAATTACTATAAACAAAAGCGATGAATTGACTTTAAAACTATAAAAATGCGTGCGGAATGGAAGATAAGTGTGATGTTTAGTGCCGGTTGAATAGAAGAAAGTGTACGACAAATAGCCAGACCTGCAAAGAAATAAAAAAAAGTCACATATTGATTATTAGCAACGGAACTATGGTATATTCGTGAGAAAAGTAAAAAAAATGTATCACTCTATAAAATATTCATGACGACATAAGCGATATCTCTTTTGATAAAAAAAAAACCGACAACTCACGGCAATTCACGGCCATTCATATTTTTACAATTTGATTAATATAAACATCAATTTATAGAACTTACATAGTTGTCTTTGTACACGTGTCACTTTTTTCTAATTTTTTATTTTCATAGAAAAATATGCGAAAAACAACCATGTCATTTGAATTGTATTCATACCCGTATCGGACCGAGCATATCATCAAAAAGCAATTATCAATGGGCAAAATCTAACCTCAACATGCATTAAATACGATATTTGTTTGTGTTCATTTTCCTGAATGCATTCATTCTCATAACATAAACAATTGCGTGAAGTAATTTTGCATTTGTTTTCAAATGAATAAAAAAAAGAGTTCAAGTGCACTGCCATGAAATACTTGCTTAAGTAGTTGTTTTTTTCTCGTTGTTTAAGCTCAATTATGATTGCCGTCGTAGATTTGCATATCATTTTAAATTGATTGCCACTATTACCATTGCGAGACAATGTCTCAAGAATAAATTTGCTTCTTAAATTACCTTCGTTAATCTCGTTATCTATTCACTCAAAATGTGTTCCGCAACATTTTGATTCGACCAATTGTTTCGATTTATTTATGGAATTTCCGGACACTCACTAAATGTTTCTTGTGAAAAACGTATTTTTGATATAATTGTAAAAAATTGTAAAACACTTTTATTCTCTGCCGATCGAAAACGTTGACACAATTTGGCGGCGATTTCGGTAAATTACCTTCTGTTTCGGTATTCAAACAACAGGCAATTATCACACAGACTAAATTGTGTCGAGCACGTCATCAGTATTTTTCGTGCTTTTTTACCTCTGTTGGTTCGTTTGAATGAAATGTCAAAATGAGCGTATAAACAGCTGAATAAAAAACTACTTTGTCAGCAATTGCGGTGCACGATGACGTTTTATAGCGTTCAACTGTCACGCGATTTAGCGTTTTATTTCAGTTTTCTTTTAGGGAATTGAATGATTTTTTTTTGAAATTCCAACTGAAATAAAAAAAAAATCCAACTCAAAATATTTTTCTTTTTTATTCTGCTTTATTGATCTTAAGACGATTGTTATTTGTGCTAGAAACAATCGACTTAGCTGTTTTTCATGCAACTGTATAATATGTCAAAATGAATGCAATGAACTCGGTCGTTGTGGTCATTTGCACAGCTGTTAGAAATTGATGAAGTCATATTCGCGCTTCATGCGTAATGTTAGACGTAATATTTTCTCATTGCTGTCCCAGTGGGCTTTTCCGCGATCTGGATCGGTCGGTTGTGTTAATGGCAATTTTAAGCGATACATTGGTGTTTGTAAATCAATTTCGTTTGTTGTCACATCCAATTGCATTCGATCAATGCCAACTGTTTCGTTCGGCAGTATAATTTCCAAGCACATTTCTTCGCAACTTGCTGTTGCAGCTGTCTTGTTTCCTATTTGTAGATACATGTCTTCTGGCGTAACAGATTGTTTGTAAACAATGCGATATTCAGGGGTTAGTCGATCTTCTAACTCTGTATCATTTACAAGTGCCTCTTGTCTTTCCCATTCGAACAATGTCTTAGGTGGACTTTGTGCAACACTACGCGCAACTCTTTGGCCAATTTCTTGATGATTCGATGTTGTCGCAGCCGCTGAAGTTTTCTCAGTACTATTGTCGTGAGTTTTCAAATTTGATGTTGAAAATTTTATACCACAACTCGGAACACGATCATCCTCCGGTTCGGATTCAGATGAATTTCCGTCAGGTTTTTTAAGTAAATCTTGAATCAATCTTAAATTATTCGGATTTTCAAAAAAATCCATTTTTTATCGACCACGAATTACAATTTAATTGAAAAGGTGATAGACAAAACTGAAATAAATACTTTATGGTTGCTCTGGCAACGTCATATTTGGAAATATCATAGAAACCATTGACAACAGAAGTTGTTTGTACAGATATTTTGTCACGAATAAATCATTTCATCGCATAAAAGAGTGCATTTTGAACTGAAGAAATTTATTTAAAAAAAAAATGGTTTCGGTGAACGATATGAATCAGCATATAAGTGCTGTGATGGAGACCATAGGATGGCCGGAGGATGCATTCATGCCAATTGCCAACGATGAAAATCGACGACTCATGGAAAATATCGAACAGTATATGGAAGCCAAAAAAATGAAGACCCAACACCGAAACCAACTCACCGAACGGGTGAACATGTTGAAAGACCATTTTCAAAATGCCCAAAATGGGGTCATTCAAAATTTAGTAAGGCATTCAATTTATTTTGCCCAAAAACGATGACATTACACGTGAACGGAATTCAATTTCAGAAACTTCTTGACGCAAATCGATCGCAATGTGACAATGAATATCATATGCTCAAATTGGCTGAGAATGAGCTTGCAACATCGGAACATTTAAAAGGAGATGTTAAAAAAGAAGTCATTTCTCTGGACGAGAAAAATCATACCATCGAAAGTAAATCAATCGAATATCGACAAAAATGATTGAACTGATATAATTGGAAAAATGTTTTTCTTTTTAAATAGAGGATATGACTCGATTGAATGAGAAAATAGATAATCTTGGTACGGATATGCAATGGATGAAAAATGCATTAATCGAATGGGCACAAGCAATTGATCATGACGACCAAACCAATACGCTAATTGACAAATACTGCAAAGAGGACAAGAGAAAGGCTGAGGTAAGATCGACGCTTTAAGGCAATTTCTTTGAAAAACAAATGATTTTTTTACTAATTTGGTTGGAAACGTTTGCAGGCTTACGAGGTTCAAAGACAAGCAGTACAAAAAACAATTGTTAAAAATAAAAGTCGTCTCATCGAATTGGAAAGTGAAAAACAGTCACTTGAACAAATTGTTGAACGAACAAATGATTTGTATCGACAGGCGATTCTTGAACGTCGTCAGATGACTCACACATGGAGTACTGCCGTGCAAACATTGAATGCCCGCAATAACAGCATTAAAGAAACTTTTGAGGTAACATAACCACATCTAAAATGTATCACCTTATAATTACCATTTATCTTTTAAATTCAGAAAATTGCCCAAGTTAAAGACATCGGTGAGCGTAAAACAATCGAAATGAAAGAACAAACTGAGTTTCTCGACCAGCAAATTCAAAATAACAAAGAGAGCGAATTTATGATTGCTGAATTGAACGGGCAAATTTCGAAAGTTAGAGGTCTTTTGACGCGGTACAACGAAGAGATTCAACTTAAATCAAATGACTTAATAACACTGAGACGACAAATGCAACACGACACCAATTGCCTGCAACAAATGCGACAAAAAAATCAAAAGGCAGCCATTGAATACGATGCAAAGACCAAACAAATTGCAAAACTAAAGGAAATTGTTGACGACCTGACATCGAAAGTGGGAAAAATTCAAAATGAAAAAAATAATGCCGAAGATCGTCTGAGACATCTCGACGAACTATTTGAAGATGAAGAGAAATGCATACATGCGATTGAAATGGAAATGGCGCGACTTTCTCAAATGGTTTATCGATCAAGTCAGATAATTCAACAGCAATATAACGAACAAAAATTAATTGAGGTTTGTTCAACACAGAATCTATACGAATCGTGTAAACCAAATCAACGTTCTTCTTTTTAGACGGAAATTCATACATTGGAATCTTCAATTAAGGCAATCAGCGGCAATTTTTTGAATCAGGAAAAAGAGCTTGCCCGTCAAATGGAAATGCAATATGATATCGTAAGTGCATCACAAAATCATTTCTAAATGCTAAAAACTCTGAGAGTTCTTCTTACTTTAGCATTTCAAAACGTTGAAAATGGAATGCCGTGTGGCCAAAATGCAAGGTCAATTGAAAGAATTGGATCCGGAATTAATTGAAAGAAGTGAAACACTTCAACTATTATGTGCACATACGCAGAAGAAACGTGACAAAGTCAAACGGGAATTGTGTTCAGCTGAAGAGACAGAGCGACGTCTAAGGTCGTTGCTATTTGAAAACCAAAGTAATCACGTTGAATTGATGAACAAATTGCGAAATCGTCAATCAGAGTGCGAGGCCAGTCAACGGTCTATTGCAACAAATCGCGATATATTGCACGAACGTTTGGTCGAGCACAGTCTAATAAAAATGAGAGTTCATCAAATGGCCGAAATGTATAACAAGCAAATGGAGAAATTTTATGATTTGGAACAGCATAAGCTGCAATTACAATTGGCCGTTGATGAGCGTCTGGTTGATTTGCGTTGTCAAATGGATTTATTGGCTACAAAGCGAAAGCACTTGCGTGGCGAACGAGATCAGCTGAGGGCCGACATCAATGAGCGTAGGCTGAAAATTGATGCTTTGAAAGCACGCTTCGAACTTACAAATGAATTGCTTGGTAAAAATGAAGATGGAACGGTGGTCAGTGCGATTCAATTGAAAATGGAAACGGCACAGGAGAAGGCTCTCCTGTTAGAACAAGGCAGTAAATTGAATGAAAAAGTTTTAAACGCTGAAGCCGATATTAAAGCTTTGGAAAATACGTTAATTCTGTTGAATTTTTCAAATGATAAATATAAACGAAAGATGGGTCAAGTACAGGATAACGGTACGTCCTTGGAAAGTATGCGTTTAATCATTTTTTTAAGAGAATATTCTGGTTTTTTAGATGAACTCAATGAGAAAATGCAAAAACTGAGCAACGAATATGCGACAGCAATGAATCGATTAAAGGTTGCCAGAAACGATTTTGATAATGAGACAAGAAAACTGGATGAATTACAACGGCAATATGAACACTTTGAGATTGAACTGGACGAAATAAGCCGAAATCGATTGGAAAATAACGACGCTCTCATCAAGTTACACAGAGAAATTATGGAACAAAATTCAAAAGTCGAACGAGCCAAACGTGAACTGAAAATCGCAAAAAAGGCAATGATGAGGAAAGTTGGTGATCGCGAATATGTTCGACTTTTAGAGGTTTTATTAGTCTCTTTTAGAATTTCATATTCTTAAGTATTATTCTAAAAATAAATTTGGATTTGCAGAAGGATCTTACGACGAAGGAGCTTGAAAGTCGGAATACGACCGTTTTGCATCAACTATCCGATATAGTTGATACAGTACCCGGAATGAGCTTGGTCATCACTAAATTGCTCTATGAAAAAGGACTGGAGATTCCAATTCATCATCAAAATGCTCGCAATGCAGCTTCTAGTCTATCACGAGCAATAAGTCGTACGTCAATGCGCAGCTCTGGTAGAGCCAGTGAATGTAGCTTGACTATAAACAGTCGCGAAGATGATGGAATCATTTCAAGATGTACGCATTAAACTGATTTATTTTTTTAACTGACACTAAAATTTATATAAGAAAATGTAAAAAAAAATATTTATTTATTTTATAATTTGCATTGCAGTGTCAGAACGTTCGTTTGCAACGACATCCTCGACTGTGTCATCAAAAGCATCAACAACAACCAGATCTACAAAGAAATCTGATAAAAGCGCAGCACCAACTACTGCTTCACTGAGCTTCCAAATCGAAGGACAGTCCATACGCAGCGACAAAGTATCAAAATAAAGCGATAAACTACATAAAAACATTCAAATTCGCCACCCAACATTTAAATTCTGTGAATGAAAAATTGCGCAGCCAACTTCACACTCTTTCACACCAAAATTTGTAAACATAAGTGACATTTAGAAAAAAACAATTGTTTTGGTTTTTGTATGAACAAAGTAATCATAGCATAATATGTACATAATAAATTTCATTTGTTGAACAGCTTCGGGTGAAATCTCAGTATGGATCAGATCTCTGTTAATAATCAAAATGGTTTGTCAATAAAAAATATGATTTTAACTATTATTTCTTACTGTCAAACTAAACAAATAATTGTGTTTTCTTTTAATAGAGCTCGATGGTTTCAATCGTCGAATCGAATATTTCAAATGTGATTTTTGTCCGAGCACATTTTGCGACGAGGACAATTTCAATTCACACGTTCTCAATCATTTTGAGAAGAAAAATTGTGTGAACTGCGATAAACTGGTATTGCGAATCGGTAGCAAATGGTATCAGCTGCACATTGATGAGATTAAAATTGATGGGCCCGAGAATCAATTCATCGATTTATACATAAAGAAAGAAGTCGATGATAGTGACAATGATATAGCTGAATTCAACAGCGAGTCCAATATAATCGAAACCAATTCCTTCAAGGATGACTCAGACCAAAACGCAGATCAAAACACCGAATTGGATGTCTTCGACGAATATCAAACCGAAATTGATGAGAAAATTAAGAGAAAAAGCAAGAGAAAAACTTCCAGTAATATATATAGTGAAAATTCCGACAGAAATACTTCAAAAGCAGTTGAAGCACATAAACCGAGAGGGAAACGCTCTATTTGTCGAATTAAATGCCGAATTTGTGATCGGAATATTTGGAATTTCAATTTGGAAAGTCATTTGCAAAAGATGCATGTGCCGAATATAATTGTGTCAAAGGAAAAGATAAAATGCGAAACATGTGGCAAATTTTTTGCGAACAATGGAAATCTGAAAATTCATCAAGCAATACATAGTGGCATCAAACGATTTGGTAAGTTTGATACGTTTGGATAGATATGAGCCTTTTCTTCCGGCTGCTTTCGGCAGACTACTATAGGTTTACCAATTGTCAAATTTCAGTATGCAGCTACTGTGGCAAGAGCTATCGTCAACTATTTCATTTGACTGAGCACATGAATGGGCACACCGGGGAAAAACCGTATAATTGCGATATTTGCCATAAACGATTTGGAAGATATCAAATCCTTACCGCACATCTGCGAATCCACACAGGAGTTAAACCGTATGTCCATTGATAAAATACCAAGAACAAGCCTTCGAACTTTTGACAATTCTTTTTATCTTTATTTCAGATATAAATGTAACATTGAAAAATGCGATCGAGCCTTTGCGTATGAAATCGATCTAAGTCGTCATAAATACAGCGCACACGGAATTATTAAGAAAAAACATATTTGTTCAGTTTGTGCGAAAGTCTTTCCAGAAAATAAATTATTAAAAAAGCATCTGACGTCACATTCGTCGGGAAACATTCGACAAAAAGCCGGATCAAAAGCATAATTTTATCGTTAAGATTTATATTCAACAAAAACACAAGCATTTACTTTTAAATACAATCAATAAATGGTATTTATTTCTTGGTCATAATCATTGAGATCTAGTCATGAACTTTCTGCATGTGTTTCCGCAAGAATTTCGGTTCATAAAATATTTGGTCACATTTCGTACAGTTGAAAACCTTGTCAATGATTCCGTGAGCCGAGCGTTTGTGTCTCTTCAAATCCGTGTTGTAAGCATACGATTTTTCGTTGCAAATATCGCACACCTAAATAGGAGAAAAAAAGTTGTTATTAGTTTATAACTTGGTTGTTCAGCGATTGGAATTTTAATAAAAAAATCTTACGTATGGTTTCTCTCCGGTATGCGTCCTTTTATGCAGATTCAAACCAGACAGCGTTCGAAATGATTTACCACAAATTTTACACACGCACGGCAATTGATTCTGATGGATGAGTTGATGCCACTGTAGATTCGATTGTCGATTGAAGACTTTTCCACATTCGCCACACTCAAATTGCTTTCCATTCAAATGTATTTGATTGACGTGTGACTTCAAAATGTAAGTATTTGCAAACTTTTTATTGCAAAACTCGCAAATATGTTGAATATCGGTTTTTTGTTTGACGTTAATGTGATGACGATTAAAGTGAATTTTCAAGGAGCGCATCGAGAAAAAATTGCCTTTGTGACATACAAAACATTCATACGTGACGCTGTCGATTTTTCGTTTTGCAACACACTTAGTGCTCAAGCGATGATGCTCAAACTGTCGATCACCGATCAGAACTTTTTCACATGTTGTGCAAGTGTACGGTTTGAAATGGTCATCAATGTGAACGTTTCGATCTTCGATGGTGGCAAATTTTTTGTCACAAATGTCACACGGAATTTCTTCCTCACTCACACATTGAATCTCTAGATACACTTCCGTTGTGTCCTCTGGTACAATGTATTCGCTATTAATCGTGTTTGTATCAAGTTCATCGTTTACATCCAATTTTGGTACGGCCCATTCGTTGAGTGCTTTGCTCACATTCAACGTAAACATATATTCGGGAAAATGGGCATCGCATATCGCATGTTTCTTTGTAATTTGCTTCACATCCAAATTTATTGCTTTGCACCATGTTTTTCGACTAAATTGAATAAAGTTACGATTATTTTGAGAAAAAAGTTTATATTTTGATTAAAATATTCAAAATCTTACGTCTTTAAATCAGTTGGAAATCGATGAAATTCCACTGAACTTGTGGCGCTCAGAATATTTCTACATGCCTTCACACAACATTTTGTTCCATATGGAAGTTTTCCACTCATTTTGTATTGGTTTTATTTCTTCACACAATTTGTTTTTTTAAACAAATTTTTAAATTTTTCTTTTATTTTGAATTTCTATTTTAGGGGCACGCTTGTATCCAATAGGGAAAGTATTGGCTTCATTAATACACAAAGTGATTATGAATGTACAACAACAGCAAAGTGACAGTTCGGTGAATTCAGCAAATGTGTGTATGTTTGTGTGGCAACCCTGCGCTGTGTGACACTGACGTTTCATATTATCAAAATTTGTTTTCTAAAGCCTTGTCACACTCATATTTTTCTACATTTTAAATTAGATTGATTTTAAAAGCAATCATTTTAAGCACTTTTTTATATTTACTTTGGGCAATAGAATTGCTTCGTCGGAGAAGATGTTGCCGGGCAATTCAGTCGACATTCGAAGGAGGCAAATTGATACATTGAAAATTTTCAACAACAAGTGAGTGTATTATTAGCATTGAAATTGGATTTTGAATGTCATTCATAATAACATAATAATTATTAATTCGTATTACAGTGTGACTGAAATCAAAGCAAATGAAGAGTATTCCGTAGGTTTTAAGTCTGACGATCGACAAATGCTGTTGAATGTATTCCTCGGCCCAAAATTTCCAAATGAAAAACCGAAAATTGTCATTTCACCAAAAATACAGCATGAATGGATTGCTGATTTTTCCAGTGGCGAAATACAAACCGCACCAGGCCTTTTGAATGTAAATTAAATACCGTTGCGTTGTTACTGGTTCGCCAAAAATTGATCAATTCTTTATTTTAGTATACATTGCATCAAGATCTGGGACGTGTTGTTCAAGCGATTATTCGTGAGTTTGAAAAATTTCCTCCAGCACTTTGGCCAAATGGATCCGCAATGCCACAATCGACACAGTCCAATTTACCAGAACCAAATAAGTCGTCCATACCAGAATTGTGTAATTTATCGAAAGAAGAACTTCAAAAACTCGACAAAGATCCGCAATATTTAAGTGATTTTGTTGACGAAATGGCGATTATACAGCGACTTCACAACGACTTGGACACAATAATCGAAGACGTTAAAGTGGTGGCCACTGAAAATTTAACCAGAGAACAACACATGCAGCAACTACGATCGGCTATCGAAGAGATGCTCAATGAATTCCGAAAATTGGGCGGTTCATATGAATCATTGAGTGCGCGTTATCAGAAGAAATCGGAAGAGTTTGCACCACAACATATAAAGGAATTACTACAAATTGCAGCGTCAAATGCAGATGGTATCTGTGATACGTACGTCCAACAATTTCTGAATGGCTCAGTAGACGTACAGCAATTTCTAGATCAGTATCGAGAAGCTAAACAAATTAGTGCAATGCGAAAAGCAAAAGAAGAACGATTAACACATCAACTAAATGAGTTGGAACGGGCCACTTTTTGAACTTTTGATCTTTGACCAAGTATAAAATCGAAAAAAAAAACGTTTTAAACGATTCAATAAAAATATTTTACTCTATGAGCTTAAAAAGTTTGCATAATAAATAGCCTAATGAACTCAACAGTTGGATGTTTAACTTTATTCATTTCAAACATTTATTAGATTTACAGTTTCAGGATTTGCTTTTTTTACCATTCGAGTTATCTATTGAATGAATAGAAAATTTAGAGAAGCAATTCGTAATAATTTCCTTTTCTTCACATTCATTTTGAATTTGTCTCATAATAAAATGATATTGGTTGTCCCAAGAATGTTCATTATCCCAAATATTGTCACAACTATTCCGATATGTCATCAAACGTCAACCTTTTTATTTTTATTATTGTTTATTTATAAAAATGGAATCACGGTTATGAAGATGGAAGTGTGTTTTATTTGCAATGTTAAAACTGACGAAGAAAATAGAAATTTAAACGAAATTCGATCACAGCACACAAACACACGAATAACTGATGTGCTCCAAAATATGCTTGGTGACTTTAAATCGAAACGAAATATCAATGATGAATTCAACAGTGTCTGCTGTGATTGTCTTAACCGAATCGATGAATATGATTGGCTTTGTGTTATGGCCAAGAAGCAAGAACAAGAATTACGAGCCCTCCTCTTCCAAACTGAATCCATACACGAAGCTAAGCTCATTGAAACCAACAACAATGACATATTCGCACACCGAAAAGATGATATTTTATCACCAGAAATTCACGAATCTGTACGAAAGACTCGGTCTACGATACCAAAACAAATGCATAATGCCGGCCGAAGTAATGAAAATGACTGGAATGTTTTACACAAATTTGATGATTACAGTGAAGATGAAAGTGAAGTATATGACAGCAGCAACAGCGATGAGGAATACATGCCAACGAAAATAACAAAAAGAAAAACATTATCTAGAAGGGCACTATCGTTATCCAATCGAGTAGTCAGTGATAGCGCTGATGGCAATGAGGACGTTCCAAACAAAATTCAAACTGAATCTTCGAATGCGACGGATCAGTGTGAATCACATGAATGCTTGAGATGTGGTCAGATATTCAAGAGCAAAATGGATTTGATGGTAAATTTAGATTGCTACACTGTTCAAAATTGTAACATCCTAATTTTTCTTTGTGACTAATAACATTAGAACCACAGACTATGTCGAAACCGACAGCTAGAACCACTGGAAAAGACCTATCAATGCAACATATGCTCATTTTTTCTGAATGACCAAGAATCATTTGATGATCACATGAAACAACACGAAGACAAATCATCGCCATTTGAATGCGTTATTTGCAATAAATCTATGTCATCGAAAGGCGTTCTAACGAGACATATGAACGTTCATATTGTAAGTAAAAAAACACATTTTCAATTTTGTAAGTCCAATTTTTCATTGATTTTCTTCGATTTCAGGGCAACGTTTCGGGCGTGTGTGAGATCTGTGGCAAATCATTTATTCATCAAAGTTCACTAGAAACACATATGAAATTCCATAAAAATATACGAACAAAAAAATGCCCAGATTGTCCAATGACATTTGTCACAACGTCTCATTTACGACAACACCTTCAAACCCATGTACGTTACTCACTGGCACGATTTGTCTTCAATATTTTCAATTATACTTATGTGAATTCATGTTCTGCTCATTCTTTTCAGAGGAAAGATAAACCATACACATGTAACATTTGTGGCAATCAGTTTGGATACCTAGGCAACTTGAAAGCGCATGAGAAATTACATTTGGGAACCGATAAAATTCATAAGTGTTCGCAATGCGATACACAATTTGCAAGGCGCTCCAAACTAATGCAACATATTCAGCAGCAGCATTAATTTTATTGTTTATAAACCATAAATTAGTTAATCTCAAAATGTTCCAATAGTAAATAAAACTGACAAACATTTCAGTGCAGTCAGACAGCTTCAATATGGGCGATCAAATTTTTTTTGATGCTTTCCCCATTCTTCTGATTATTTTGGTTCGATCATTTTAATATGAACAAAGCCAACATTTGCATGACATGAATTGAAGTTTTCTTCATTGTTGTTCGCATTATACTTGTTTTTGGTTTAAATTCGATCTCTTCGATTTTCCTGTACTCGGTTTCGCTGTGAAAACGTTTTACGCTTTGAACGAACTCACACAGAAAATCAAAACCGAAATACACACATGAGAAACGTCGTTAGAAAGAGAACGAAACATTCGGTAACAGCAACAGAACGAAACACATGCTCGAAATAAAGTATTCAAGAAGCAAGTCCCTTAATCTTAATCACTAACACATCTGTTAAGCACTTCAATGTCATGAAATGTTTTAGCATGTCAGTCGAAGGAAGCACAAGGTTGAATAGCGTTCAGAATACACACATTTTCATATCAAATCATTTCGTATGTCGTACACACAACGTTTTATATTTTTATGCCTCTGTCGTAATAACAGTGTAAAGAATTCATCGGGCAAAGGCGTACACCAGTGCCGCTGCGGAAAAAAGTTTCGAAAATTTCAAATAATTTATAGATTTTGTGTTCGAAAAATTATTTAGAATAAAGTGCATTAAGACTCTGGTCTGCACGTCTAGTGAAGCAATTCGAGTGAATGAGTAAAATCGTCTGCCGTTTTGTTCTTCGTTTAGCTCAAAACGGAAATTATTGTGAACAAAAGGGCCCAGAAAAATCTCGTAAATTTTTTTCTACATTTTTTTTTTCGTCGCGAATTCGATATATTTCGAAATAATATCAAAATTAAACTGGACTTTTTGTAAAAAAAAAAACATTGAACAGTTCCTTAAAATAGAATAGTTAAAGTGCGGGTTTGCGTCGACACCAAATCAATAACGCTTCTCCATTTTCCTTTCTTATGTGTATTTTTTTCGTTCGTTCGTTCGTTCTATTTTGGGATGGCATCGCGCATTGGTGTGAATTTGTAAAGAACTCAACGATGATTTTTTCTTTGTTGTGTTTGGCGAATTGAATTCACCTTCGAATAAATAAATCATTTGGCTGTCGCGTTCATTTTAACCTATTTTATCGGTTTTGGCTACAAAGTGGGCTAAAAAGAACAGTTAGTTGAGTGTGATGCCTTATTTATCAAAACAAGAGAGACGCTGGCAGCACATTAGTATCGATTCAGTCGGTTTGATTTCATCACACATTGCTCCAACCAAATGCGTTAAGTGTGCGTGTATTCCAAATTATATGTGCTGTAGCGTTGTATTGCCTCCAATTTTAACTCAATAAGAAAACACATTTGTTTATGGTTGCATTCGATATATCAACACAAATGTGTAAATAAATATATTTCGGCCATCATCAGGAACTATAAAACAAACAAAACAACAATTTTTCCTCAAAAATAGTATTATAAAAATAGTTAAAAAAGACAAATGACACAAACCATAGTTCTTTTTCTTCAAATGTGTGACTAGTACCGAGAAACAAAATTAAATGTCAAAGAGAGAAAAAAAAATCCACTGAACTACAAATTACATCAAATTGAACAAAAAACAAAGACATCTAACCATTCTTATTTGCCAACATAATAAGATTGTAGTACGTGTTTGAATAATCTTTCTTATCAGTATTATAATTGCACACTTTATCTTCATACTTAATGATTTGATTAACTTCATGCACCTGCAATTCAAATTTATTGCGCTCCATTTTCAAAATTCGTGTATTATCAAAATCAAAGGAATGACCTGTATTGTATCTATGTGAAGCCAAAGCTACAATTTTATTCAAATTAGCAGTGCCATCGTTATCACATTTTTTATCATGTTGGCCAATCCTAATCGAAAGTTTCTGTATAGTTTCACCTATGTATTTTTTATCACAATCTTTACAAGGAATGTCATAAACAACACCACTCTTGTCATTTTTGGGTAAAGAATGTTTCATATTAGCGAACATATTAGAAACTTTATTCACTTTGTCCCGGCACTTTTCGATACGGCTGCCATGTTGGCCGTGGTCGGCCTCCAAAAGTCTTTTTTTACTTTTTTCCCTACGGTCACCGAGTTGCCTTCACGTAACACACCCCGGACATATGCATATCGTTGGAAAGGTCTTAAAGCCAGCTATCGAATGGTGCCATTTTTGGTTCAAAATGTATATTAAGTTTATATTCACAGTACACAGAAAATATCTACCAACTATTTTCGTCACAAAATTGATATCAGAAATGTTGTGTTTCAAATTTTGGTTTCGTCACTCGTTCTTCACCTCGATAGAGGTTTTTTATTTGATATAAGTGTCACGCAAATATTGCTATAGACCAAACATTCTTTATCTTCAAATTATTTTTGTCGAGGAATTCGTAATGAAACATAATACAAATTCGGTGCGAAATTATTTGGAATGATAATAATTTGTATTCTCACGCGTGTAAAATTATTGCTAACAATGAAAGTGAAGCGGACCCTCGAGCGGACCGAGTCTTTGAGACGACTGCATTCAACACGTACGTTGTATTTAATAGAAACACACGAATGTGAATATATATGTGTATTTAATGCGTGGTATTGATGACAAAAAAAAATGTTTTAACAATATTCACGATTTTAATTTTAAAATTGAAGTCACGGTGAATGTTTTGAATTTTGTTAGAGGCGGCGCAGTAGTCATTCAAATTGTTTGTAGTACGAAAAATATGTGAGCAAACCAGGTCAAATGTAGAAATGTTTGTCCAAATTTCGGGCAGGCAAACGGCAGTTGATTGGTCTGAGTGCGCAAATGTTGTCCAAGATGATGTTTTTGTATAAATGTTTTTGAACAAACGATGCATTGGAAAGGCTTTTCATCACTGTGGATTGACATTTGTTTCTTGAGATTTGACAACCTATCTGAAGTGTATTTTTGGCATTGATTTTCGTGTTCGATCTTTTCGAATTCGCTGGCATGAAATTTCTTGTGTCGATTCAAACTACCTTTGTCTGAAAAAGCCTTTGCACATACTTCACATACTGATTCCTTTGCAGCTTTTGATTTATTTTCCTTCTTTGCTCCTCTTCGTTTCTTTCCCTTGGAATTACGTCAACTTTGTCCTTCGCCATTCAACTCATTTTGTTCTGGATGAAATTGATTTCCATCATTTCGACCATCGCCTTTGCGTTGATGTGAACCATCTTTTGGTGACTATGAGCAGCAACTTTTCTTCGTACAATCTTCTTCGTCTTCACACTTGATTTCTTTCTTCGCATCAAGACCGTATTTGGTACACACCTAACCTTCGCCCTCGATCTCCGATTTGGTCGTGCATTGAGTCGCAACAATGTGTGATGGTGGTGGCGAAAAATGAATCAATTCAGCGCCGTCTCTTGGCTCGTCTTTGACAACGATTTTTTCCTTGATTTCGACCTTTCGAGTGCTTCGAGTGTTTGCATCTGAGTTTTACCTTTCTATCCAATGAACTATTGCTCGGGAATGGATTTATTTCACGTTTCTTCAACTACTCGTGACATGACTTGTGAGCAAAGAGAGAGAGAGAGCGCTGAAGAGAATCGTCATTTTTTATTTGCGGGATTGGGTTCGAATACAGTCTTCCCTTTTTTACATTTGGGTAAATGAAATGAGTTAAACAATGAATAGAACAGACAAAAAGGACTTCGATTTGAAATGGAAGCAAATGACAAAATACACAATATAATATGCATTTGTATTTTTTATCTAGATAAATTATTGAAATTTTTCAATTGCTATTCTGGTTTGATCTCTTTAATTTTATTTTTTGCGGACAAAATTTCATGCGAATAAACTATTTGTTGTGAAGTTCGATAACTGCAGGCCATTCGAACAATATATGCTGTAATTAATTATACAGAATTGTCATCAAAAATTCAATAAAATGATCATTTCAACTTTTGCATTTCATAATTGCACTGTACTCCTCCATAAGAAAGACTTTATACTTTCTCACTCTACCTTTCTCACTCGCACACAAACATACCCATCTATTTAGGTTTGATGTGCGAGAGTATGTTTTCTACGTAAATCGCCAGAAAAATTTACATTCGAACAAAAAAGCCTTGAAAAAGTAGGAAATGGAGAAGATGAAAACCTGAAATAGAAAGAGATAGACCTGAAAATGCATGATATGATAAATTGCGTAAAAAAGGAATTAACCTTGAATAAAAATGTCAAGTGATGAAAGGAAAGCAAATAATGTACTTGGAATCAAACTATTATTAAACTACTATTTTTCTCTTTTTTCTTTATGTTAATTCTGAATTTGCGGGAAGAGTCCCTCTTTTTTGTTTTGATTGTATTTTAAGTACCAGTTTTTAGTTGAAATCAAAATAAATAATCGATAAGTGTTGTTTGCTCGTGTTACATTTCAGATATGCAACCACTTCGTTACACAGTAATCATATTTAGGCAGAGTATTTCGTTTAGGCAGAAATTAAATTTTGAATGGATTGGTTGCAGTGTGTTGATCCCGTTTTGCTCAAGACTGCTGCATTGTGTATGATTGATGTGGAAACAGTTGAATATCGCCTCAAATTACACAATGAAACTAGGCCTTCTGCTCATATTTTTTTTAGCTGGATCAATGACTGTGCATGCATGTGAGTGTCTTCAATATTTAATTCATCGTGATTGATTCTTTCTTTTTACATATATTCATTCATTTGACTCAAATGATTTGAGATATAACAGGGTGATTCATTTATTTATGGACACTTTTCTCGGTCTCTTGTAGTATTGTTACAGCCGTAGAAACCCTTTTGGGCCAAAAAATTTTGTGTAAGGGAAAGAATCAGAATTAATATTTTTTTTTAAATTGGTTAAAATAGAATTTCTTGAATAAGAGCACTAAATCAAATTTTGGTTTTCCTTTATTCTGTATATTTTCTTATTTTCTTTACAACAATATTCGATTTTCCTTTTTACCTTGCCCCAACATTATATGTTCGCTTGTTCGTCAATGTGTACTTGTTGAATGATAGCTACACAAACATCCATCACCTTAGGAAATAAGCTTCGGAGCAAACGTTCACAGGGAGAAGTGTCTGAGTCAGATGAAAATATTTGCCAACGATTTAGTTGTCCTTTAGAAAACAATACATTTTTCAGCCCAATTGATACAACTACATTAAGCGATAATTATCCACCGACAACTAGTTGTACATTATTATTAACAGGTTGGTATCGTTCGGTTTGGTTTGGTTTGATTTTATGGAATGTATAGATATACGTACTTATTGCAAAACAAATATAATAATAATAATTATTTTTACCAGTTCTTCGGAGATTTCACTAACCCTCCCGCAGATTTGGGGCGCTGAATCCGAATCGAGCCTTAAAAATGAGTTACCTCTGATGAAAAATCCAAACTTCATTAAATTTTTGCAAAAATAATGAATTTTTTGCAATTTTTTGGTTAATAATTATTTTTTGAGTATTTTAAATGCCAGATTCAGATTCACCGTAAAATATTAACCCTAGAAGTGGTGGTGCATACGATTTCAAAATAATCTGCTTTATACACATTTTTGGTTTGAAAGTAAAAAAAAACGAGCAGAATAAGGTATTTTTGATATGGTCGGGGTCGGGCCGTTTTTTCTTCCTTTAAACAATGTAATGATGCCATTTACCTAGTTTTGAACGAAAATTAACAAAACCGGTCGGGAAACAACAATCCGTCAAGATAGTGAGATTTGGCCCACCCTACCCACCATACAAAAAATGTATGAAAATAATTCCAAAATGCAAATACCAACATGAATATTGATTTTTTTTTTGTTTTTATTCAATGAAAATAAAAAGCGAGTTGAATAAATATAAACTTTAATAAAAACAAATGCAGAAAAATTAATTCAAATCAGTTTAGTATGTGCGTTTTTTTCACATTGCATACACAAAACAGTCAAGTTTGAATGTTCGCCGCAAACGTTTTTGTTTCATTTACCACAACAAGTTTTGGATGGGTAGTCAAATTCCGGTCGATTTCAAATGTCAAAAAATCGTTTATACCACTAAAATGTACAAATGATGTACAATAATTGTCATGAATATGTACCAACATTTTATTTCTCAAAATTTGGCTTTTTCAAAATTGCAAATATCAAGACCCGGAAAATGTTTATCCGAAATTTACGCTCTTTTGCAAAAAAGTCAACTTAACCCGTTAATCGTTTTTCATTCAAGCCCTTCAAATATTTCGCTTTTCGATTGAATTAAAAGACGACCAAATTATACAGTTGATTTCTTGTACGTCAGATTTAAAAATAATAAAAATTGTGCTTTTTCAAACCAATTATTTGCTGTTTATAGTTATATCTCAAATCATTTTTATTTCTAAGAATTAACAAGTTTTTATGTGATTATTTGTGTCCCAAATAGCCGATCCTGGCTACATAGTAAAGCTTGAGTTTCGAAATAGATTCAACATTGAACCGTCACCAGCATGCGAATATGATTATTTAGAGGTAAAACTCTATGTTCAATCTCATTTTTTTAAATTCAATTTTTGTTTTATTCAGATGTGGATTCTATCATATTGAAAAAACCATTATTAATGTTTTAACAATAGATACGGGACGGCAAGTATGGATTCTCAACACTTAAAGGAAGATACTGTGGTACTAAGTTTCCAGATGAAATAATCTCAAGTGATAGATATTTGTGGTTGCGTTTCCATTCGGACGATAATATTGGGTATGAAGGTTTCGAAGCCGTATATGAATTTATACCACGTTTAAAGAAAATGGGTAAATACACAGAAAAAATCATTAATTGGATAGAAATTGATGGATGAATGGTGAATGGGTTGGTTTTGGGTGTTAAATGATGGCTCCAGGCAATACCCAAGGAACAATTTGTAATGCATATTCAACCATTACCAGGCACAATTTCACGGCCAAATTTGAGGCCGGATTTATGTGTACTTTCCAGAGATTAGAAAACTCTGCCGATTAATAATCAAAATACTTACTAGTAACAGTATTAACACATATTATTAAGTTTCCCTTTTTTGTTCCATATGGTTATTCAATTTCAAATGATGTTATAAAAAAGATGCAATTGAAGAGTGTTCAATCGTGACAAATGATGAAAATTCAGGACAAATATCAATAGAGGACATATCCGAAACAATTCTTGGCCAGGTCACTGAGATAATTCCACTAGATTGTCTATGGACGATTAGAGTGAAAGAAGATTGGCAGGTGGGCAATTTATATATTTTTTAAATATTCGCTTTTTTGCACACTAATTTGGTGTTGACTCATTTGAAGTCGACTATTCCGTTCAACGACTCCATACCATCCAATCAAATAATTATAGTTTTTTTTATTTGAAATATGTCCCGTTCATTATATATCTTTATCTTAATGTACTTTCGTTTTCTTCTTCGTCTTTTTCCATTTCATTTTCATAGATCATGCTTTCGGTGGATAAGTTCGATTTAGAGAAAAAAAACGATTGCAAAAATAATTTTCTTGATATTATCGGAAATAATACAAATGTATCGGAGCCGTAAGTAACACATTTTTAAGTAATTTATTTTTTGGTTGAAAAAGAAAGGGAAAGGCAGCTGCAGCAGTTTGTTCGCTCATTTCAAACTTTATTTTTTATTGTTATCTGTATTTTCCTCAATTTTTTTCATTTCCATTAGGACAAAACATTTTTGTGGGGTTGTGGCCGAACCGCACGAATCCAAGTCGAATACTTTGTACGTACGATTTTTTGCAACTAAACAGGGACTCAAGTCTAAATTTTCGCTTTCCTACACTGCATTCACAAAAAAGAAGGCAGTCGATGGAAAAAATTCAACACCAACGTGTGGTGAAAACGAATTTGATTGTGATGATGAAACATGCATCGATATGTCCCTCTATTGCAACGAGCATCCTAACTGTAAATTTCGAAAGGATGAAGGATCGGATTGCCCGTACCATGTAATGTGGAATTGTTTTGAGTTTTGCATTTTTAGTTCACTGAATTTTTAGCGATGCGTGCTTTGCACACACACACACATACATGATCGTCAAATCATAAATCTATATTAAAGAATACAATACTTGTACACTTTCGCTCTGGTCTGTGTTTCGTGCTGTGTTAGACCCTGGATTACCAAGTGGCATATTTCATACCAACATAAAAGTGTATGAAATTTGAAAAATACTACAGCAAGAAGTTTCATAATCACACCACCACCATTTTCGTTTTTTAATCGGTAGAAAGCGACTTTTTACCAAAAAAATTCATCAGTTTTATCAGAATAATGAAACCCATACTGACTGAGTTAGATAGTCATGACACTGGTGGTGGTTGTGTGAAAGTAAGTCGGGTACACTTTGATGGACATTGAGAAAATATTCTAGTGTCTATTATAATCAATGTTTTTTTGTGATGACAAAATAGCGTAGCGGGTCCCTGGAAAAATCTAGGGAATTATGTAGACCAGTTAGTTAAAAAAGAAAATGGTTAGTAGAAAATGTAGAAATGGTTAGTGAAATATTAGATCATCGGTTAGCAGTTTAATAGAAATAAGTGCGTCAAAAATTAGAAAAAAATTAGTAATCAATTTGAAAAGGGTTATTTATAAATTTAGAAAGTATTAGTTTTTTTATAAAAAGGTCCTCATTTTCAAAATTGTTCAGGGTTCCTAAAAATATTTTAGAGGGGGCTCATCCGAACCCTAGGAACCCTCGTCATCACCCATATCATCATCTAGATTTGAGAAGTTATTATTTTGTGTGTAAATATCGCGATTTGACATTTATGGCATGTGGTAAATATTCGTATTAGCTGTGGCTTACAAAAGTAATATTTGAGACATTTACTACACAATATGAGCTCATGTAATTTAACGCAGTTAGTAAATATTTACCGATTTTCAATGTTAAAGAACATTTAAATGCCGAAAGTGGCTAATACTCTATCGATATATATTTAATATATGTTTCAAACTTTTTTCCATACAGATAAAGGAAGATGATGAGAAGAAAGATTTGTGGCTAATAATAGCAGTATTTAGTGCACTACTTGGTGCCATGACATCGGTATTTTTGTTTAATTGCATCCGAACACTAATTCGAGATCAGAAAATTATAAGAGTGAGCAATATTACACTATAAATTATAAAATGGACAAATATACTAGATACAGTCTATGTATTTCGGATGGATATATTTAAGATTATATGTGAGACGTACACAGCTCTGGCTCTGTGCAGTTGCGTTAAATATCCAGATATTCTAAAATATCTCGGATGGATATCCATCCAAAATACATAGACTGACTAGATATAAATACAAAGAGTACCAAATAGCAGCCATTTTGTGAAATACAGTGAATAATTAAAATAATTAAAATATTCGTTCAGAATTGTATTATAAAGTCGCTGTCGTATGCGTCTTTCACAAATAGCGTCTATGAATGGGAGCTGAGAAAATAGCACTGCTATAGCTGTAGCTACAATATATTCACTGGAAAATATCTATTTGTCTATCCAGTTCCATTGTATCTATTAAATTGGATCACTCCATTACTGAGATTTTCGTTTCCTTGTTCATCTCTGTGTATATTTTCCACATACTTTGTACATTTTTAGGAAACCATTCGACAATCAAAAGAGAGTAAGCTGGATGAAGCAGGTCGCATGTCCATAAAACGGTCTCTAGAGAATGTAAACCGAATAATTCCTGGGTAAGTTTAAGTGTAACACTTCAGCTTTGCTTGATTTTTAGTAATTTTTTACATATTGTTTGTTTCAATGGTTGTGCTGCTTTGATTTGATTCAATTGGTGTTTTTTTTCGTCTGATAGATCTTTAACTTAAAAGTGGGCTTCGTCGAAAAAGATGATTACGGTTCTTTTTATCAATTCGACGCCGTGCACAACAAGTGGGTCTTTGTCCGGAATTTTACGAAAAGATCTTTGTCTGAAGGTCTATAAAGTCCAGTTGGTACAAGAACTGAAGTGGCATAACCATACAACGCGCCGCACATTCGTCGGTTGGGTCCTGCAGAAGCTCCAAAACGATACGGAAATATACCGAAAAGTCATCTTTTTCGACGAAGCCCACTTTTGGTTAAATTACTGGCCTGTGTAAAACGTAGCTGTGGAGACCGTTACCCAAAATTATTATCTTTAAAACAAAATTGCCATTATCATATCAACCAAATAAAGTCGATTTCATGATTAAATTAAAACTGGTTTATGATTTATTTTAAGTTAAAGATCTATCAGACGAAAAAAAAACACCCTTTACTTGGTACTCATAGTAATAAATCCTAATAAACTAGGGGGGAGACACCAAGAATAAATTCCGAATCCACTATATAAATTACTAATCCAGCTATTCCACTAATCCAAAAACACAAAAGTGGAATCGAAACTTTTTTTCCTATTCCATGCACTGTTTCCGTCAAAAATGTTAATTCTGCTATTCCACACTATTCCACACTATTCCACTAATCCATCAATAAACGTCAAAAGAAATGTCAAATGGATTTGAAGTGAAACAATTTTTGCTATTCCATGCACTGTTTCACTATTCCACGCGAATCCATTCACATACGTTGCTATTTCATTGAAATTTCTCGAATCTTTACACTAAAAGTCTAATCCTATTCCACGTGTCTACCCCCTAGCTAATAAATAATACTCATGTTGATACGAGTATTATGATTGGTCTTAATAGTTAATAAAGCATTCGTGAGTAGTAAGTAGTAAGATATGTTAATACTTCTGTATTACTGTGACATCTATAAATGCATGTGTTTGCTCACAGCCATACACAGTCAAAGAAAGTTCGCACAAAAGAGAATGAAACATTTACATCACAGCAATGAAATCCCTACTACCGTACTAGATGGTGTCGACACGAGTGGACGGATTTTTGAATTTATTTGAACGACGCCATGTTACTATACTTGTCCATTACAACGTACATGTAACAGAAGAAACACACAGTCCATGTCCTCGCTAGTGGACATAAACGATTTGAACCGTCAATGTGAACTAGATCAAGTATAGAACTTTACATAGGACTAGGGCTCGGAAGCATTTATCATTCGTGAAAAACCATGCATATTCATGAATATTGGTCCATTTTGAGTAGTGAACAATAACTTCACTTTCTGTGAATATTCGTGAATAAAATCATTATTCCTGATTATCGTAAATACCCAAAATGGCGGCAAACGGTGCATGTCATTTAGTGGAACGTCATTTATAAAATCACAAAGGCTTACTATAAGAATATTTATTACACACTTTTGAAGTTCTTCATCCAAATTATTTTTTTTGTTGAAGAAATATAAATTTTTAGCCTGAAAATTGTTTTTATGCAATAATAACATGATTGTATTTGGGCTGTATAATTACAAAAAACTACGATAATCACGAATATTTGTAATATTTGTCGCTATATACCAAATTCATACAAAACTGTATTTATTTGATGTTTTTTTTTCAAGTTCCGAGCCCCTAGACATAGGATCATATACAATGAATATGGATTACACAGTCTGTTTCAAAATACCGTCACCAATGTCGACACCATTTGACATCAAAATTTTGACAGTAAAATATGTGTTATTGTTGTTGTCGTTTCATTGCTGTGATTTACATATGGCTACTTGATGTTTTTTGACCATATCGCAGTGAATTATTTTGTTGATATTCGCCTAAGCAGCGAAGATGTGCCGAGTGTACACGAAGCGTGAATTCTTCTAATACGGATAGTAAACGTCGTATTGGCTCTAAACTACAGATTTACATTTTGCAGTAACACATTACAATTGTAACGAAGCATTACTGTAATGCTATTACAATTGTAATGTTAGATTTTAGCATTACCAGTAATAGCTATTGCTATTCTTATAACCTTACTCGCAATGCTTCGTTACAATAATAATGTGTTACTCAACGCTGCCGCTAATGTCAAAAATCTAACATTAATATTGAGACTTTTC